ACTCATCTGATTAGATTATGAATTAAAGGGATGCTCAGGTGCTTCTAACCTGTACCATTATGTGTTTCTGGACCACATTCGAAAAACGTGAAGCAGTTATGTCACTCTAACTCTTGGAAGACAAGTATGGAAAATGGAAGATTAGAAACCATGTAAATGTTATATTAGGAGCAACATATGCCTTTTTATGCTTTGTGGGTGCCCTGTTAATTTAAAAAATGACATTGCTTCCACATGAAAAGTAGCTTTCAGTTCCAATACTTTCTATGTAAACAAACTTTATAGCATGACTGTTGAAAGGCGATCCACCCTTTTTGTGAGAAATGGTATAATTTAATGTTGCTTCTGGGATCATTTTAAAATATTAAATATGGCTAATGTAAGCAATCAACATGTAAGCAATCAACATATGGCTAATGTAAGCAATTAAACAAACATAAGCAAATTACTCATATTAATTTTCAGATGTAAATGTAGTTTTGACCTTTAATTATAACTAGTTGTGTCAATTACCCTTGTATAACTCACAGAAAGGAAGTTGAACTATGGCAAAATATAATTTACACTGTAATTTAAATTTAATAAATGTATCAGATTTTCCAGAACAAATGAAGAGTGGAGAAATGTGATTTTACAGAAAAAAGTAAAAGTTACTCCTAAATTTTTACAAAGATTCGATTAATCATCTTTAATCATATATAGTTCTATTTAAAAAAAGGTCCAGTTGGCATAAAAGGGTACAACTGACTACATAGCCCATTTCTGTTTTGAGGGGGAAATGCTTCAACAAGTAATTTAAAAATAGAAATTGTGACTGCATGGATTTGTTCTGCCCCTGTGAAAAACAGACCCGCTGCAGGGTCCTGCGCAGCGAACGGCCACACCCAGTGCACACACGGGCTGCCGCCTGCAGGCGGCCTGTGCTGCTCTCTGCTGCCTGAGCGCCTGCCTGCAGGGGCTCTCTGAGCCAGGGTGGGCCACGCCGCGCTGGGCTATGCTCTGTTCGCGGTTCGTAAATCCATCGGACAAGCCGAAGTGGGTAACAGAAAACGGTGCTGGAACTGTGGGGACCAGCAAGTTTGCACTGGAAGCTTTGGGAGACGCTGTTGACTCTAGTCTTCCTGAAGTTGGGACAAAGCTGACCTAACAGAGGAGCGTGGCGCTTTGAAAGGTAGCCAAGCTGCTAGTGAACTCTATTCTCCTTTATCAGGAGAGGTCACAGCAATTATGACGCCCTTCAGAAAATCTGGGACTCGTGAACAAATCCTGCAATGCGGACGGTTGGCTGGTCAAGATGATACTGACTGAAGCTTGAGCTAATGAGGGAAGACGCATGAGAGAAGTGCCCAAATCCATGAGGAGTGAAAACAGGGCCCCAGAACAAGCCAGCGTGAGACAATTTATTCCAGCTTAGCTGGCTTCAATGAGTGGTGGATAGAACTTAAGTCGCTGTAGCAGCAGTACCGCTGGGGAGCAGAAACTGCTTTGTGGAAACTATACCCCTTAACTTTGCAATGATGGCAGATAAACACAAGACACACCTCGCCCCACAACAGCCTGTGCTATTTCCAGGCCAGGGTCTAGTTAGAGGATTCAGAATTCATGGAATTACCTGTAGTAAGAATAGCTATCAAATGGACATATCTCAAAAGGTACATTCTTCTTTTTAGCATCCTGCTGATATCCAGACCTCGATTTAGGATAAAGTATCTATGCTCTTTCCACTGGAAAGTTTTTATGACCTATATACAGTATGAGCTGACGAACAGTGCTGTTTTAATTTTGCACTATACTTTCCTTGGCTAGTGCTATTTTTATACAACGAAGCAACAGCCTTGTAGCAAAATAAGGATCCATTGAATGAAACCTTCAGCTTCATTGAAAACAAAAGACTAGACTGGTTTCCATTTTCCTAATATACTTAAAACCAGATCAACTATAATTGGTACTTTGCACAATTTAGTGGCATATTTACTTAGCCTGTCTTAGTTTCCTTCTCTGTTAAGTAACTCCCCCCACACATTATATCTAATATACACATTAGCTCTAAGATATTAAAACACATAGCTCAACAGCTGACTCTATCGTCAGCCGTCATCAAAACAAGGAAGTGAACGTACAAACTGAAGCTAGATTTCGTTCACTAAAGACAGAAGGTTGTTACTGAAAATTTTAAATCTAAGCTATTGTTGGCATGGAAATTATTAGTAACTGTGTCTTTGTGTGTGCATGTACACAAGTCTACACACACACACACATCCTTGGCTAAAGAAGAATCCTCCGTAATTTGCCCTTTTTCCATGGGCTAAAAAGAGCCAGGTGGGGAGAACAGTGAGAGATGAACCAGCAGACAACCTGCAGCTGATTGCATTTTTTAATAACCAACAGGGCACAGAATAAGTATTTGGTATGTAAGCGATGGGACTGGTTGGGAGGGACCATGTAAAAGTGTCAGGTTCTCTATCTCATAAAAAGGAACAAAGCCACTCTTTTGGATGATATCATTCACTATTGGCCCTACTGGAGAAGTCAAGCCATCAGTGAGTTAGGAAGACATTGTTTAAGTGGTTCAATTTAGAGAAAAGTTTTATACTTGAGTATCCATCAACATCACCTGGTGGGATTGGGAAAACCCTTTGCCAGGCCCCATCCAGTTTTTGCTCTAGTTCAGTGGTTCTCAACCTGTGGGTCGCAACCCCTTTGGGGATCGAATGACCCTTTCACAGAGGTTGCCCGATTCATAATAGTAGTAAAATTACAGTGATGAAGTAGCTATGGCTGGGGGTCACCACAACATGAGGAACTGCATTAAAGGGCTGTGGCCTTAGGAAGGTTGAGAACAACGGCTCTAGTTGGTCTGGAGGGGTCCCAATGAATAACAGCATTTTGGAAGGTTCTCAGGTAAGGCTGCGGCTGCTGCTGGAGAGGACTGAACCAGTGGCTTAGGAACACTTAGAATATTATACTGCTTAGTATTCATCTTTTCCCAAGACTTGCCTTTTCTCCAGTCTGCAATGATTTATTTCAATGCTATAAAACTTTGGAGGCTTACTCACAATTTATCATGAATTAAGGGGTTGGTTTTTTAGTTTTATTTTTTATTTTAGATTTGCCTATAGTATCCCTTTGTCCATCCCCTGTCAAAAATGCATGTCAGGTATCTCTAAAGGAAATATTTGGTATCAATTTTAAGGAATAGATTTTTTAAAAATTGTGTGAGCATTGTTATCCATAAAACTGATCAAGTAGTTCTTTCTGCCTTTGCTGCCTGCTAGAAAGCTTCGGGCCAAAAGATACTCCTACATCTCACCTGTATCAGGATAAAATCTCACACTAAGCATTTTTTACCTCAAGCTTTCTTCCTGACCATACCTTGTTTGGTTCTAACCTTACTTTCCCTTGATAGTCATTTTTTCATTGACAAAATGACTGCAAATATTATATGCATTAAAAAAATCATTTTATTGGGGGCTCTTACAGCTATATGCATTTTGACATATCACCTGCACTCCATCCAAGAGCACAAATACACACACACACACACACACACACACACACACACACACACGTCAATCGTGTGCCTAGAAACATGCTGCACAGCAATTTAGTATCTCATTTAATTAAGGCTCATGCCTTGGCTTCTGGACTATATAAAATGAGTAACTGATCCCCTTGAACTTAACAGATGCTACAAAAGTTCAATGGGTTATCCATTTATCCTTCAGCATTAATACTGAAAGAAAAACACTTCTGTGGTAGGGCATATGTCACACTCAAAAGGTTACAGATGAAATGTTATTCTTTGTGAATATCACTGTACCTTTTAGAAACTCTTACTATTGTTATTTTAGAGAAACCAACCTAGGTGTGTAGAACCTATTGGGGAAAGCCAGGGCTATCTTTGTCTGTCTTAAGATTACCACCCTCTGGCTTCAGATCTGCACTCTTCCCAGTGGACCAGAGTTCTGCGATGAGCTCACCTATATTCACCCTCGCAGGACTCATGTATTTTGGGGAAGGGATGGGTTCAGGAGCAGAGGTTTTCCCAGAGCTTTCTTAGTCGGGTTATTAGGAACGGCAGCCACCTACTTACTACATGTGCAATTCCAATGAGCTTAGTTAGACTTTGGTTAATCAATATTGACTTTACCTAGGAATGGTATAGAATGGGGAGGACCAGGAAGCTAAGCAGAAAAAGATAAACTGGTCCTCTATAAAAGTATATAAAATCTCAAACTGCAAACCTTGTAACACAGAGCGGCCACAGATATCAGATACCTGTAATGACACAATTAGCAAATCATAGAGCAGATCATAGCTAAATGCTAATCGTGTCACTATTCTATTTTGTAAATTCAGTCTTAAATAAATACATCAAAGTAATTTCATAACGTGAGCCACGAATTAGATCATGAACTTAAACATGTCTGAAAATGAAGGCAGTGAAGGGCAAGAGCAATGAATTAATATTCTTTTCCTCCTTGGTGGACCTGATGCCTCACTTACTGGCCTGCAGAAACAGTTCAAAACGAGTCTTATTACAAGCTTTTGCAAGCCTGGTAACAACTTATGAGGATGTCTTTTGTTTTATAAACCAGTTATAAGCCAGATTCAGTTAAAATACTATTAAAACATCTAAATGTAGGAACATAGTAAGAATCTAAACCTTTTTGAAGGTGTTAGGAGGTGTTAGGGTCTTTATAGTGTCTATATATATATGTACATATATTTTTTCCCTTTAGGTCATTTATGACCCTCATTTATTTAACCATCTATATTATATAATGAGGTAGTTTTTGAAAAATAGTTTTAATATGGCAATTTTTCTCCCTAAGAGCTGGAATATAAACACATGATAAATTCCGGCACTTCAGAGTATCATAAGGCCATTATCATTATATGTTTATGTGTGGCTGATCTGCCTTCAGCAGTTTTAAGAGACTCTAATGGCTTCATATGAGTAACTGATTTTATAACTTTTAAAAAGAAAATTGTCTTGCCTTCGAATGGTAATCTTGTTCCAGTCTGGGATCTGATCCGGCTACCTGTTTGTATTTGTTAATTTTCATTTGGCGATTTCTCTCCTCTATATCCATAGCACCTATCGAGTAGAAAAAAACCCATACAATTAATGTTCAGTTCTTATTTCTGAGCCCTACTTACAGGATGTATAAAGAAGAAATACTAGGCTGATATATATTACTTTCAATCAAAGAAAAGTATGTACAAATTAAACGTCATCGTCTTCTGCTGGATTCACTTAAAATACCATTTGGTGAATAAAAGCATGGTTATTCAATATGGAAAATAGTTGTAAACCAAAAAGAAATATGAGCAAATTTGAAGAAAAGACAGTAAATCTCCGGTCGAGAGAACACATGTTCTGGTACACACAGGTATGGCCCGGAGAACATGATAGAGCTGATGGCACATACATTTGACAACAGTCACATGACATTACAAGGTGTTACTTTGGCTTTTAATTCATCAGTTTGATTTAATCACTGGAAATAAAGCTGTGAAGTGTAATTGATTTAAAATATAATTGTAGAAAATTATGGAAAAGATTATTATAAAATCAGCCCATGTATTAAAGCAGGTTGTCCAGCATATAGGTCGATCCGGCTGTCAGGAAGGCTTTGAACTTGAATTTTCCAGAACTAGTTGGTTTGAGTAGTGTCCAGAGAGAAGAGTTTGGAATAATACTCCTGAGTAAAGGCACAGGTACTACCAAAGCCGAGTTAGAGAATTGATCAAGAACTTGAGCATGCAAGAAGCTGAGGTAGTGATATGGTAAGCACATTAAAAAATAAGATGAATGTCTTCTATAACATGTGCTGCCGCAAACCACATCAAATACAGACAGCAACAAGGTCATTTAAATTTTTGTTAGAGTTAAATTCAGTCAGCAAGTCTTAACAAATATGAAAAAGTGAGTTGATAGTATACTATGATTTTTATTAAAGAGATTTTATGGGATACTTCTATTTCTCATAAACATATAGATGGGAAAAACAAAATCTCAATTATATACTAAAATCCGCAAACTAGGAAAAATTATCCTACCCCAGTGGGCTCAAGAGGGTATCTACAATAAAATGTTATCATGTAAATTCGGAAGCACTGTTTGGTAGGCAGGAATGTAACCATACACATACATTCTCCATGCTCATGATTACAAATTTAAAAGTGAAGTAAGTTTGTCTATTGAAATTTTGGTATTTTTATACTCACCTGATTGTAAAGCATAAGAAAACAGAGCAGTGAAAAACGGACCAGGATAATCAAATGTTAGAGTATTTCCCCCTGAGCCATTTTATGTCTTAATTTTTAATTACTACCCTCTGCTCTTCAAAAATCTTATTGCAGATAATTTTTGCTAGTAGCAAAACTTAAATGAAAATCACTGAGTTAAGATAAACTAAAAAATGAAAGAAAGAAAAAGTTTCAAAAAGGCGTACAAAAATCTTAAAAGAACGTAGCTAGGATTTTAAAACTCAACAGAATATATTATATTACATGATCTCTACATATAATCCAAGCAAAAATAATTCAACTATTGAGTAAAGAGAATGTATTCCTTTTAACAGTTACATTTTAATAATTATCTGATTAATGAACCCCATGCCAAAATATTTTACACAGATATATTTATATAAAAACAGATAAGTGCCTCCATGACACCAATATAAAATGTAATCAAGTACAAATGCCTATTAGTATATCATGGTAGAATTTTGGACTTGTTTGTACCCTCAATAGAATGGCACAAACCTTTAAAGATATACAGACAGACAGAAAAGCAGGCAAACAGAAAGATAAAGAAAAAGATGACAAGTAGATAGGTGGATGTATGGATATATATAAAGATTAGTCAAAAAGGCATCGTGACAAAATAATAGAAATCTTTATTAAACCAAAATAACACAATGCAAAGCTATTGTTTCATGATGTATCCCCCACCCAAGTCTATACACTTGTCTCTCTAACTTTCCACAAAGAATTCTGCACTCTGATTTACATATCAACAGGGTAGTGTTTGGCTTCCTTCAGGGGCTCAGATCCTCCTCCATTGAGCTGTCCCTCCTAAGAGACTAGTGGTTTCCAACTGCTAACCTTGCAACCCAATGCATAACCCACTACTCCACCAGGGCTCTTTTAACCCTCTAAAGTCCTTAAAAAAAGCATTCACCATAACCTTCTGAACTGCCCTTTCCTCTCTGAAAGTAACTGGACTAGCAGATTCCCTGGAAGTCTGCTGTTTCCACCGGCACTGTTTGTGTGTAAAATATCCCAAGGACACTCAAACAAATGTATTACTGAGAGTGCTTGTCTGCAGCCATCTGCTGACCACAGAGACATGTTGAAATACTTTTCTGTTTTTTTCAAAATACCCACACATGTGACCTGGAATCCTAGATTTTAACTTATCCTCATATATGTACATACTTCTCCAATATCTACAGTCTTTTCTAGATGTTAACCTGCCATGTAACCTGCGGTCAATTAATTTTCATCATTAGATTGGCATCGTGATATACTGTCAGGGGTTGACAAACTTTCTCTCTGATTCAGACCCCTTAAACCCTGCAATGAAGAACAATCATTTGACAATCGATTGCTTATTTACTCCCTATTAACATATTGTTAAAATAGTCTCTGTAAGCACAATTTGGAAAATGTTGTCTTACAGTTTTAGGAGGAAATTTTACCTAGGAATCTTTAAAATCCATGTCCTTATAGGCAATGACATTGCTTATTACAGAAGAAGTGGTTTAATTTTGGAATTGGAGTACGTAGAGAAGGGGAGCTGATATCAAAAAACTCAAAAAGAAAGAAAATGTTTTGAAACTGATGGTGGCAGTAATTTTACAATTGTGCTTGATCCAATTGAATTATGGATTGTTATAATATCTATAAGAGCTCCCAAGAAAATGTTTAAATAAAAAAGAAATTACAGGGGTGATATGTACAAATATCAAAGCCTTTTCAAGTTGTAAGAAAAGTTTGATTGTAAAGTCAATGTGACTATTAGACTTCCTGGATGAACACATTTCTCAAAATTTTGCATATGATTCTGTCCGTTCATTGGAATGACAATCTGCTAATGCACTCAACTGTAAAATTCAAGTTGCCTCATTTAGATGTAAACCAAACCAACCAAACAAACAAATAAACTGGCCAAGGAGTCAATTCTAACTCACAGCCATCAACCCTGGCAGGGCAGGATAGGGATACCCCTGTGAATTTCTGAGACTGAATTTCCATAATGTTTTACGGAGGAGACAGCCTCATCTTTTTCCTGTGGAGCTGACTGATGGATTTGAAAGAGCAGTACAATGCGTAAGCACTACATGCCCAGGGCTCATTTTAAGTGTAAGGTGTTAAGTAAATTAAGAAAAAAAAAAGTGAATTCTTATTTCATCACAAACAGCCGAGTTGATTTAAATTATGCTGGAAATGGTCTCATATTTTTTAGACATATATTCATATCCGCTGGAATCCCATCCATTCCAGCATTTCTAGTTGATACATGACATTTCTTTCAAAACTTTTCTCAGACATTTTCCTTACTATGCACCTTAAATTATACGACTTTTTTTTAACATTAAAAATTTCAAGGCAGAGAATAAAAACAAAAAAATCAAATGTGGATTTCTAGAGTTCAAAAATATCTCAAAGACTTTTTTCCCCCCCATTTTGAAAGCTCCTGGCCCAATATTGGTCACTATGTTAAAAACAAAACAAAACAAAACAAAACCAGCAAGCTTTGTTGATCCTGATTTACAATGTTTCCTAACATCGTCCCACATATTCTTTGAGCTACACATTTTGATACATGCCCCAGGAAGCTGACCAGTGATCAACACGTGGCAGAACTGCTGCCCACTCATCGGTTGTAAGAGCATACAAACTCTCAAATCTGGGAAAACTCTTAAGCCAGATCTAATATTACATTCCAAGTGTAACATATTAGTAAATTGCAGATCGTTCCGGTTTTTGTGAATGTTAATTTTCCTGTATGTAAGTGATCTGGCATGAAAAAAAACCCCATAGTCTTTCTTCAAATGTTGGTTTAACATTCTTTGCAGCCAAAATTTTAAGAACTTTGAACTTACTTCTTCATAATCACCTGAGACATTTTCCAAGAATTTTATACTACAACTTTATATAATCTATACTAGAATGTCATAAACACATTTTTGTTTGTTCAATATTGGCTAATTATATTACAATATAGGGAATAAAATGGATCAAAATTTAAAAATTAAAGTATGGAAGAATATATTCATAAAATTTTTGAATCAGGTACCAAATCCCTTTAGGACTGAAGCTAGGACCAGCATAAGGATTTTTTTTGGGGGGGGAGGGCTTGTTTGTTTACTGATTAACAAAAAAATTAATCTTAACTATAAAACAAAGATACACATTTTTTAAAACGATATTTATTTTAAATAAATTAACATTGAGGAATTTCTTAGTGCATTCACCAGGAACTGATAACTTTAGAATGAAAAGAAATGGTTGTATGTACTAATTTTATTTTGCTTTCAATATGTTTACTTATAAAATGAACTCTTCTTTGTTCTTTGAACTTGGTATCTGCCTAAATGTCATATACCATTATATTCAAAATTAAAGTGTAAGCAACCTAGAAACTATTTGTGCTTCCTACTGAGACTTAGAGTTGCAGGCTATCGTCTCTGGGGTGGCATTCTAAACCATCACCATCTTAGATCGTCAGGCCACATGTTACTGCGTCAACCTCATTTCTCTAAGCCTTATTCACCAACTCATGTTTGGGGAGGGATGGCACAGGGGCATTTCATGGTCTGCTTTCCCTGCAATCAAGAAGAAACAGTACAGGAACAATCTTCAGCTATCTGAGCACTTTGAGGGAGGAAGTTCTTAGGAGTGATCTTGTGACCTATGGGATCTGAGTGTGCCTGCTTCTGAAATCTAATTTCCCTTCTGTCTCTTCCAGTGGAGGCATAGTAGGTTAGTAGTCGGGTTACTAAACGCAAAGTCATTAGTTCAAAACCACCAGTCGCTCTGTGGGAGAGCGAGAAGGCTCTCTCCTCCCACGAAGAGTTTCAGCCT